TATATATCTGGTTATATGACGGCTAAAAAAAGTAAACAATAAATATGTCATTCTTATTTGCGTAAAGATACCCGAAAAAAGCAACGTTATGAGGCTCTTTTTGGAAAATGTTTACCAGGCCTGATTCTCCCATTACTAGTAGCCCTGTAGGCTAAGCCCATAATCTATGGAGTCGGTTTAGCCCATCAATCATGTTTCTTAATTACAAACTCATCAAATCAATCACCTTTGTCAATTCAAGCATGTAATCTGTGTGTGATAAAGCAAGCAACTCGTCTCGTCTCGTCTTCCTCCATTTATTATCAGTAATAAAGTAAAATAATAAATCTGAGTGTTTCTAGCGGCAACCCTTACCGACTTAAAGAAAGAAACTCCTATTTTTCTTCTAAGTCTTTTTTTTTTTTTTTTTTTGGTGTGTCTAATAAGTGGTTTCAGAAGAAAATGGGAAATTGGAACAGAAGATGGATACCAAGAAAAAAGTACAAGTACGAAGAGTTTCCCCCTTCTCCTCCATCCCGTTACAATCAATCTCATTCTCCTGGTACTTTTTTGTCTTTTAATTTTTCTTTTTTTTTTAAATATACTCATCATTTGTTTTGGTTACCGTGTCATGCTATTTTTTTGTGTAATTATTAATGATTTTGATGCTTCATTGATCTAACAATTTGGTGGCAATTTTGGTTTTTGTTTTGTTTAATCTTTTGTACTTCGGGTGTTTTGATTAAAATTTTGAATTTGAATTTCAGTGAGATGGCCCCTTGTATGTTATGAGAGGATCCATACAAGTACCTGCTTTGCTGTTTATATGATTAGAAATGTGGTGTTTCTTTGATATATTCTTTGCTCTCATATTTGGGTATTTTTATATTCTCGGATTGTTTTGTATGAAATTTTGAGCGAGTTTAAGAATTTTAGTTTGAAATTACGGAAAAAATGACCCCTGATATTTATGGGCAGAATCCACTTTCACCTGCTACAATTGGTTTATAGCATGGGTATTTCAGCAGTTCAGATAGTAATGTCATAAAAGTAGTAAATCTTTTGTCCCATTTTAAAAGAAATTTTGATAAATTTATACATTAATTTGTATCCTATAGGATTAAACTTGTCTTTCTCGAGTCCCTCCAGTTGCATCTAAGAATTTAGAATGACTCACCCTGCTAAATTGGGACCCAATCCCATGTCAAATGATTAAACTGTTCTATCGGCCTTTCTCTTTGTGAATGGGCTTAACCTTTCCAGAACGCTCGCTTGTCATCTTATCTTTTGAGATAGTTATTGCTGCAAAGTCATTCAAGGTGAGCGTAAATAATATGAAGGAGAATTTCCCAAAGGGAACTAGCTGAATCTGTTCATAGGGAGCCAATGTGTACCTTCTCTGTAAGTAAATTGTTTCATGTTTAGATTTGTCACTGATTTGAGTTGGAACATTACAAGCATTGAACAGTTGTCCCATAATTTAATCTCTTGTACTAATATTCTTTCCCCAGAGCTTTAGTTCGAGGGAAAAGGTAGTACGGCTAGGGATCATGGTAGGCGCAAGTCATGAGTTCGAATCCTATTGGTGAACCAAGTCTGGTGTTTAAGTGGAGATGGTAGAAGGTTGGCCCCATTATCTACTGATTTTTGAAGCAGGAAATAGCGAATTTCTCGGTTATAAAAAAACATTTTTAATCTGTTGTACAAAGAAAATTCCTTTATCAGAAGAATCTCAGAGTGTTGAAGCCAGCTGCCATGTTGGCTTTGCCCCAATCTCTCCCTAAAAGTTTTTGTACCTAGATGTATAATAGATCATGGTGCACACGATTGGAATTCACTATTGTGGATGTTTTGTCATTTTAATCAGAGATGTCTCTTCATATATTTCCCTCAGTTTCTTTATTTTCTTAAAATACTACTTAGTTTTTTCTTTGCATAAAAACTTGTCATCTTATGTCCTGTCATCTGCACACCTGCTTGAAGGCGATCAAGTCTTGTGTTACCTACAAAATCTGATAACTTCTTCATTTTCACTTTTTAAAGCTATCCAGGAAAATAGTGCTCCATCATGGGAAATAGATTTCTGCAGAGCAGCCGGGATTCCTTGGCGCAAGGTTGTGAGTGCAAAAAAATACATGTACTGTTATGATAATGTGGTCAAGTGGGATGACTCTGCAGGTCATGAAGCATTCAATGATGCAAAAAGGAGATATTTGGCTGAGATAAGTGGTCTTCCTCCTCAGAGTCCTCCTGATCCAGATATGTACATTGATAAAGTTGATTGGGACTCAACTATTGATCCGGAGCTGATCCTAGATTTGGATAGAGAATATTTTAATCCTAATGAAGTTGAAAACTCTGTCAAGTCTGAGAACAACTTAGTTTCTGGATGCACCCTAGTATGGGAGGATAAAGCTGCTGATAATGGTGAAAATCCTTGGGAAAGTGATAATGTGCAGGGCTCTAAAACTTTTGAGAATGTGGAGCAGACTTGGAATGAATGGGATAAGCCTTCAAATATCAAAGATGATGATCCGTGGGAAAGGAGTTGCCCCAAGACCCAGGAGACGTTGAAGGAAACTACTGCCTGGGGAGGCCGAGGAAATGAGGAGCAGACTTGGAATGAATGGGATAACCCTGTAAACATCAAAGATGATGATCCGTGGGAAAGGAGTTGCCCAAAAAACCAGGGGACCTTAAAGGACACTGCTTGGGGAGGCCGTGGAAATGAGTTGTGGGGTTGGACCACGGGGCTGAATTATGAGAATGGATCTGCTTGTGTTGATAACACTTTCAGCAATTTGTGGCATCAAGGTGGTGAAAGTGTTGCTGGTGCTAAAGGAAACGAATGGGTCAATAATAGAACTGGTTCCTGGGGCCGAAACCATTGGAATTCTAGGGGGCATGAGCAGTGGAACTCAGACTATGGCTCTCGTTGGAATAGGAACCTTAGTCGAGGTGGTGGAACAACCTCAAATGACAGAAGATGGGGAGAGCCTGAGTTCACATCTTGGGATTGGCAGCGATTACCAAGGCAGAGTAATGAGAGAAACATGGATTTTGGAAGACCTAGCAGAGGTGATAAAACCTTTTATACTGGTTCTCGGAAGAGGGAAGGTCCTTCACAAAATATGTCGAGGTACAAAAGCTCCAGGTTTCAAGGTGAAAAACAGAGGACCGCGTACAATTGGAGAGAAGAAAAAACACAGAAGAGGGTTACTTTTAGTATTAATGAATAGTGACCAACTTCTGGATCTTTTTGTATCTTAATTAACATCTTTGGGTGTTACCAAGGTCACTGGTGGAGCAGTTGCAACCATGACTCTACAGAGGGTTGGAAAAGAAGGACAGCAGGTTGGAATGCAGCTCTCTCGTGCCTATGGAGTTAGATAAATAGGACAATTTTTTTATGGCATCGGGTGTGACATGTGTAACATAAAAAAGCTCTTTTTTTCTGTTCATTTATATATTTTGCTTAAAGAGAAAATACCCTGCTGGATAGATAGTTGGGTAGGTTTTTGATGGATGAATGATAACAAGGGCGGCTCCATCCCTAGGCCAGTAAATCTCTTGCTTTAGGCCCCAAAAGTTCATCCTAATAGATACTGTAAAATATGTGATTCAAGTAATTGTAGTAGTTCTTATTAATGAAGTAAATGAAATAGAATCGAAGGAAAGTGAATGTGGTAGAGATAGAACAAGATATTAGTTGAATTCCAAGTTTTAACGAAATTTTATATTGACTAGCTACAGCAAATTTCACTAAAGTTACACTGACTTCATTGAATATTTTTTGAAGCAAGAAGCTCTATTTTGAAGATATCATTAGAATGTGTTGAAGATGCTGGAAAACTCTACATTTGGCACATAGTTGTGCTTGTGTTAGGACTTGGGTCTTAGCATATTATCTGTAAACATCTCTAGATTCTCAACTCTGGTCTTAACTGCCTTTGGATCACCAAGAGATCCAACGAAACCATACAAATCGAACATCACTTACGTGTCATATGTACACAAGTCTCGCCAATGTACGCAAAGCAAATAGATGTCACACTAATAGCTTGTCAGTATGGAGTGGGTGTGTTATTGATGGTTTTTAGTTTTAATGTGACCTTGCTTCGGTAGCAAGGGAATCAAAATGAGCAGAGGTTTTTATCCAATATGATTATTTAACTTCTACATTAATTAACTAGATAAATCGCTCAGCTCAACTAAAAAGGTCATGCCTAACCACTCAATGAATCAAGAAAGATCAATCTATCACTCTAATATATTACAAACTACAACTTTTTCCTTGTAATATTTGTCTACGATATTTTTCTATATTACAGAAACTAAAATATTTTTCTACTATTTTCTTTACAATTATTAATAATTTAAAATTATTAAACTATTTTAAAAAATTTATTTAAATTCCACACGTTGATGCAGTGTTTTTTTGACGATCTCTCCTTCCTTTATCATTTTCATTACTGTTTATATAATAGATATAAATAAAAAATCGATGTCCAAATCAAATGGTGTCAAGTAAAATGAGTAATTTGGTCGGTACTCGCTATTTTTAATTTCACTTTTATTCTTTTACATTTGGTTACATCTTTTAATAATTTTGGTGTTGAAAAAAGTAAAAAGGAACAAAGTGCAAAAAGAGTTCCACACATCAACATGTCTCGGGTAGTTCATTCAAGCTTCGCCGCTTTCAGTTTCTGAAGAAGAAGAAGAAGAAGAAACAAACACTGAACAGAACATCCAAAATGCCACCCAAATCTGCAGTACAACACAAACCGTACTTCTTCTACGGCCACCGTAAACCAACTCAGCATCGTCCTACTGTACAAGGCGGCCTTTTCTCCAATCGCCAAACCATAAACCCAAATCGCCCCAACCCCAAAAACTCACCTTCTTCTTCTGCTAATTTTGAGCTTCAAAAATGGGACCCAGATGGAAATTTCGGCCTAAAATCCCAAAAAGACCCATCCCATGAATTTTTCTCTTTGGCTCAACGCTTATCACCAATTGGTAGGTATATAGTTGATTCATTCAGGAAACATAAGAGTTGGGGCCCACCCCTTGTGGCTGAACTTAACCGTCTACGACGTGTCACTCCTAAGCTTGTAACTGAAGTTCTCAAGCACCCTAATATTGATCCTAAAATTTCCTCCAAGTTCTTCCATTGGGCTGGTAAAAAATTCACCCTTTTTTGCGTTTTTGAATTTTGTTACTTTTAATCAATGAAGCTTCTTATTGTTTGTGGTTTTTTTTCTTGTCTGCAAATTTAATGTGCTATGTTGTCTCTTTGAAATGGGAAAAGTTTCAACTTTTATTGCTGAGCTTTTATTTTGAAAATATATTGAATCGGCATAAAGTAGGCAGCTTGGTGCACTAAGTTCCTGCTATGCGCGGTGTTCGAGGAAGGCCGGACCACGTTGAGTCTGATGTACCTAGCCTTACCTTTGCATTTCTACAAGAAGATGTTTATGCCCACTTGAATCCGCTACCTCCTGGTCACATGGGGCAACTTTTACTATTGCGCCAAGGCTTACCTTCATATTTAATCTCTATGCTACTACTGTTTAAGTGCTTATTGTTTTTTTGTGAAGAACGTGACATTTGAGCAGCAATTTTATTTTAATGACATTAAAGTTGCATACTTGTACTAATATTTTTCTGCAAGTTGTTGAATATATATGAATTGTTTTTCATTTTTTAGTCTAAAAATGTGTCAAGCTGACTCCAAAAAATGAAAAGGGAAAATTTGTATGGGACATAGAGAGTACGTAGAGCCAAGGGTCTACCGGAGACCTCTCTACCCCTACAATGTAGGGGTAAGGTTGCGTACACACTACCCTTCCCAGACCTCACTTGTGGGATTACACTGGGTTTGTTGTTGTTGTAGAGAGAGTATGTAGATACAATCCTGTAATTTTGAGACAGTCAACGACCATGATTGTCATGGTTTTGATCTTTTGGCAGATTGCTACGTCTTAAATCGTTTTGCATACAAAAGAGGAAACCCAAAATTATGCATTTTCTTGTTGTCTGGTTCTCAATGGATGAGAAAAAATGAGCAGAAGTAATAGACAAACGAATAACAATCAGCGTTTTTCTTGTATGTGTGTATCTGCTTATTCTTATAATGTATCTTAACAGGAAAGCAGAAAGGTTATAGGCATGATTTCTCTTGTTACAATGCCTTTGCTTATGGTCTGAATAGGGTGAATCAATTTCGGGCGGCTGATCAGGTTCCTGAGCTGATGCATATGCAAGGAAAGCCGCCTAGTGAGAAACAGTTTGAAATCTTGATCAGAATGCATGGTGATGCTAACAGGGGTCTTAGAGTATACTATGTGTATGAGAAAATGAAAAAATTTGGGGTAAAACCAAGAGTTTTTCTGTATAACAGAATAATGGATGCTTTGGTTAAAACCAATCATTTGGACTTGGCTATGTCAGTTTATGATGATTTCAAGAAGGATGGGTTGGTGGAGGAGAGTATGACTTTCATGATCTTGATAAAGGGACTATGCAGGTTAGGGCGGATGGATGAAGTGTTTGAGCTTTTGGGTCGGATGAGAGAGAATCTTTGCAAACCTGATGTGTTTGCTTATACAGCGATGGTAAAGATATTGGTTGCAGAGCGGAACTTGGATGGTTGTTCAAAGGTTTGGGAAGAGATGCAGCAGGATGCTGTTGAACCCGATGTTATTGCTTATTCAACTTATATTACAGGTTTGTGTAAAATTAATCAGGTTGACAAAGGCTATGAGTTGTTTAAGGAAATGAAACAAAAGAATTATTTAATAGATAGGGCAATATATGGATCTCTGATTGAATCATTTGTAGCAAATGGAGAAGTTGGTTTAGCTTGTGATTTGCTTAAAGATCTGATGGACTCGGGCTATAGGGCCGATTTGGCAATCTATAATTCTCTTATTGAAGGTTTCTGCAATGCAAAATTGATAGATAGGGCCTATAAACTTTTCCAAATCACAGTTCAAGAAGATCTTCAACCTGACTTTTCCACTGTAAGGCCCATATTGGTGTCTTATGCAGAGTCAAAGAGAATGGATGAGATTTGCAAACTGCTTGAGGAACTGCAGCGATTGAGCTATTGCATTCGTGATGATTTATCCAAATTCTTTATATTTATGGTAGAGAAGGATGATAGGATTATGATTGCTTTAGAAGTCTTTGAATATTTGAAAGAAAAAGATTATTGTGGTGTTCCAATATATAACATTCTTATGGAAGCTCTCTATATGAATGGCGAGGTAAACAAGGCACTCACATTGTTATCTGAATTGCGCGATTCAGATTATGAACCTGATTCATCGACTTACAGCAATGCTGTCCAGTGTTTTGTAGAGGTCGGAGATGTACAGGAGGCATGTAATTGCTATAACAGAATTAAAGAGATGTCTTTGATTCCGTCGGTTGCTGCATACCGTTCTCTTGTCAAAGGGCTTTGCAAAATAGGACAGATTGATCCAGCAATGATGCTAATTCGTGACTGCCTTGGCAATGTGGCGAGTGGCCCGATTGAGTTTAAGTATATTCTCACTATTATTCATGTCTGCAAAATGAATGATGCTGAGAAGGTAATGAAAGTTTTAGATGAAATGCTAGAAGAGGGCTATTCTCCTGATAATGCTGTATATTGTGCTGTAATTTCTGGCATGTGCAAACATGGAACAATTGAAGAAGCACGGAAACTTTTTGCAAATATGAGAAAGCGAAAACATCTTACTGAAGCCGATTTAGTTGTTTATGATGAGATGCTTATTGACCACATGAAGAAGAAGACGGCAGACTTGGTGTTGTCTGGATTGAAATTTTTTGGTCTGGAATCAAAGTTAAAAGCAAAGGGGTCTACCCTTTTACCTGGTTGAAAAATGAAAATAGGTAATAAATCATAAACTTGTCAATCCTTTGCATAAGTATGTGATATGAAGCTGCCTGGATCCTTGCCCTTTTTAGGTGGCGTCTGAAGTTTTCCGGAACTTGAGTTTGCAAACTTGGTTTTTGAATTTTTTGGGGTAAAAAAGGTCTTTAATTTTCTTAGATTTCCAAACTAAATTTTCCAATTTTTCAAAAATTCAAAAACCAGTTTTTGGAGTTTTTAGGTTTTTGAAAAACCAAGTTTGGAAATCTTATAAAAACTTTTTGCAAAACAGGAGCAAACAACACTTTCCAAAATCTCTTTGAGTTCGCAACCCTAGTTTTTGGAAAATTTCAAACAAAAACCACTTCAACTTTGCAGGTAACTTGTTAAGCAGATTCTGTCTGTAGTTGTTGGAGGGGCCAATCTATCCACCGGAGGATTATAAGTGCATATTCTCTTTGAGCGTTGAAAGACTACTCCGATGCTTTTTGAAGGTAACTTTACTCAACTGGAGATTGAGCAATTCATTGGTAACTGAATCAAACTTTTCGGCCCAAAAAAAAAAGAAACTAACCCTTTGTCTAGAGACTAAAGGAAAGAAGGGAAATGTACCTAGATTTCCCCCCTTCTTTTTTTGGTTCAAGAAAGGGAATTGGCAAAAGATAGATACATTTTCATTTTATAGTCTTCTAGTTTCTCTCCGGTTTCCCTATTGTTTTCCACTCTTGTGCTCTCTTTTCTTACATCGGTGTTGTCAGGTCAGCTTGACTAATCCACCAGGCTCTTGTCCAGCCAACAAACACAAGTTGCCAAGGTAATCTTGATCATCAAGGCTGGAGCTGGAGTAACACAAAATGTTGTAGTTGAGATTCGAACCTGGGATCTCCAGGTTATTACTCCCATACCGCAAGCACTTGGCCATCCTCTTGGGGTCTCCATACTTGTGCTATTCTCTTTGTTTTCCGTCTTTCCCTAGCTTCCTGACATAGGAAAATGGAAATGTTTATTTGGCAGTGAGCTGGATTATGACCTTGCTACTAAGGCCCGTCTAGCAGCGGCATTGATGACTCTGCCAATGTAGCACCATCTAATAACCAGTTTGCTAATTGCCTTTTGGTTATAGATTATAAAGGAGTGAAATTGTTTTATTAGTAGCCGAGCACAGCTGTCAGTTTATTCCATTTGTAAAATGTGAAGGCTTAAGGTGTTCACTCTCTACTGAAAGGTTGGCTTGAGAATCACTAGTATTACGAGGAAATACCAGATGAGTAAAAGAACTTGCATAAGTTTTTCATATCCAATAAGGTTTACATCAGGGATAGATCTCATGGTAGTCTTGGCGAGAGCTAAATTCTTCTATCCTAGTATTTGCTTCTTATAAAGACAAGATATCCATTTGACTTTGCTGCAGGATTTTGCAGAAAAGATGATCATTCTCAAACAATTTTGGTGGATTAACTGCCAAGGGTTCGTCAGCTCCTCTTTGGAGCATTTCTCCACTGAGACATGTTCAGTGAAAAATGTTCTAGTTGGGAGTCATCTGTTGATTTATGAACAGATCCTTTTAGTTGCAACTTGAAGTTGGAAAGTGAGCTTATGCAGAAACTGACTGCATGTTGAAGTTTATGTTCGGCTGGATGAAAGCATTCACGTGGAAGTATTTATCTTCTCTCTCTCTGTGTTGCTGCGGGAGAGAGGAGAGACGAGAGAGGAGAGAGGAGAGAGGAGAGAGGAGAGAGAGAGAGAGAGAGAGAGAGAGAGAGAGAGAGAGAGAGAGAGAGAGAGAGAGAGAGACGTATATATATAAGAACACGAATCGCTAGGACCACATCCAGGGTCGGGTTCTTTTGGGGATAGACCTATGAAGAAGCAATAATTTAATTAGTATATATAATTGATCATCATCAAATATATCTATTGATTCATCGGCTTTTAACTTACTTAGATGCATCGATGAATATATATTAAAAATAAAACGTTTCGACCAATATCATTTAATATTAAAAACATAACGTCTCGACCTATATCGATTAATCTATGTCATGCATTATTAGTGATCAATGAATGAAATATAGAAGAATTAATACTTAACATCTTTGACATATATATATATATATATATGGATCACAAATTAAAGAAACGAAAGAAGTTATTAGCATTAAATAAACGAGTTAATAGGTCAAACGACTAAACATATTTAAAATAGAATAATATTGGTTTATCAATTGATAAATTTTTCGTACGTAGTAATGTATGTGATTGATCATCAATTACATATAGTGTATGTGTATGTGTGTGTGTGAAATTACTCATATACTTAATTATAACTTAGATAGATGCTATTATAATTTATTAAAAGTAATTAGCTAATATAATTATATATAAAGATTATGCTTATAGTTTATAATTATTTATAATAAATATATATGTGAATAAAATAAATGCTTATAATTTATAATAATTTTTTATAATTTATAATATTTTAAGAAATAAAAACACAAAAAAAACATAATTTAGTTTTTTTTATATAACCGACCAAAGTTGGTCGGTAAATAGTCAAACGTCAAACACTTAGTGTACCGGCCAAAATTACCGACCAACTTTGGTCGGTATTTCTAATTTTAGATTTGAAAACGGGATTTTCCCCTCGTTTCTCTTACTCTCTTCTCAAAATTTTCATACTCCTCCCTCTCTTCTCCCTAACACACACAACACCATTCCCCTCTCCTTCTCTATTTCCCTTACACAAATCCCATTCCCCACCCCACGTAGCCACTCCCCCACCGTTACGTTGCCGCTGCTAGTGACGCCACCACTACCACCCCTCCTTCTCCACCTCCTAAAATAATTCTAGGTTTGAATTAAAACTTATTCGTTTTTTGTATACATTTAATATTTTGTTAATTAGTTATGAATTAGTTAATTAGCGTTTAAATAGGGTATGTTTAACTTTGTATTTTATTGAAATCTAGGGTTTATGTCTTATTTTAATTGAATTGATTACATATGGTGTAAATTGAATGTTTAAGTTTGTATTATCTTGAATAGTTTAGCTAGAATTGAATTATTAACTTTGANGAGAGAGAGAGAGAGAGAGAGAGAGAGAGAGAGAGAGAGAGAGAGAGAGAGAGAGAGAGAGAGAGAGAGAGAGAGAGAGAGAGAGAGTGAAAGTGAAAGGGACCGTCTTGTTGTTTGGTGATGTTGAATGGTTTAACAGTGTGTAACAGCAAGCTGAATGATTTGGTAAGAGAAGATTGGCAAGTGTTTGTTTGCTTTTTGTTATTTTCATGGTTTGAAGATTTAAATGTTCACTTGTGCCTTTGATTTTCTCGATAACGATAATTGACCTTTGGTTTTGACAGATTATAGGAAATGGATCATGCTTCAAGAACAGCATCATGGACGATGCTTCTAGCTGTTACGAAAGGGAATGTATATGTGCAATTGTAGAAAGATCTGTTGGTTCAATCCGATTTTTGCAACTATATGTAATAAATATTCTTTTCTAAACTTCTTAATGATGAGACAAATATATTACCTTATAAAAAAAACAAATACATCTTTGCTGAACGTCTTATGATGATATTGTTCACCTTACGATAAAGCAAATGCTGATTTTGCTAACTTTTGATTGATACTGTGAAATTCGCAAAGTAACACAGACTGCTTAGGATGGTTTTTCAATGATACATTTGAAAACTTGTCAACTGATGGGGCATAGTTTCTGCTCACTCCTTTTCTATAGCAGGTTCTCTCACGTCTCATGCACTCTTTTTCGGTATGTAAATGAAGTTAAGCAGCTCGTGAGCAAGAAAAGGAAATCAAAAGAAAGACAAAGTAAAGCAACAGTACTAAAGGAGCCGTCCATAAAAGACCAAAGCGCAATCAAGGGTAAAGCAGATCCAGTAGAAATTTACATTTTAGTTGGTGCTATATTTTATCATTTCACCTTTTGCTTTTCAGAAACCAAAAGGGATTCTTTTATAGAAGTTGGCAATAATTTGGTAAAGAAATAGCAGAAGGAAACATAGCGCTTCATACACATATATACTGTAATATTTTGAATTAGATAGCTTTAGTACAAAGAGTTCGGCTGAATAAAGACATTTTTGTAGTCAACGATGATATAATGGTGCAGTGCTAAATTGGACCAAGAAGCTACTCTGTAGATCATATTTTTTTCACCTTAACAAATTGGCCTACTTAGATGAAGGTTCAACTTCCCGTTTGGGTCGGTTACGTGTACGAGGAGTTGCACGTTTTTCTTCTAACGGAGTAACCACAATGCCATCATCTTCCTCACCTTCCATTATTGCTTGATTTACTGCAAGCTGTCAAGAGAAGTCAAATACGGTCCTCATACAGTCAAAAGCAAATTTTATAATGTGCACACAACAATTTGCTGAGAAAGAATCTGAAAATACAAACTACCTCAATATAGTCCCATTTCTTTCTCTTAACTGTTGAGCTAATAATAGTTAAAAGGCCAAAAAAGGAATCCAGAAGTGTGATACCCCAGCAACCCAAAAAAAAAGGGGGGGTGGCAATGGAAATCAATTTGAAATATAGTGTTGGAAAAAATACAACTATGATCATTATGATCACTGCAATTACTCTAAATGCAAAGTAATAATGACCAATGTAGGGCACAAATAACTGAAAAACAACTCTCTCATCAAACGATATGATCACAATTCACAAGGGAACATTTTATAGTATATTTTTCTCTTGTAGCTTATAATGGGCATGCATGTGCATGTGTGTGTGCACGCGCGTGTGTATGTGTGTATGTATGTGTTCATGTTACATGAATTTGTTCCAGTTAAAGTACATGAACACCATTTCAGTTTCTTCTAATGATTGAGACTCTTTTCTTTTTTTCTTCTTTTTCTTCCATTTCCAACTTATACTCAATTGGATCTGTGAAGTCACTAAATTCTGGTGCCCCAATTTAAATCACATCCTGTACATATGCCAAAGATATGCATCTTGTGATTATGGGAAACGACCAATTTCTAAGTGTCCAACATGTATCATTGGACAACATAGATCTTTGGCAGAGTTTGTACTTTATAAAGACATTAAGTGTATGATAGGTCTAAACATTGCATATTTGAACCCTTATCGACCAGAAAATCAGGGTATGCACTGGGATCTTCAATGCAGTGGTTGATGTATTGTCTAGGGAGAGTACAAGCATAAATACATTATTCTTCCAACGCGAAATAAGTTAGTCCACTCATGAACATTCTTCATCTTGTTTTGCACATACTGGCTACTCCTTAAAAAGCTCAAAAAATCAAATTGCAAAATAGGTGCAAATCGCATGAAGCTTTGCCATCTATACATCTAGTCTTCTCATTTTGCAGCAAATATATGTCCAATTGTTCTTGGTTTCCTCCCAGCAGACATTCTCCAAAAATTCAAAGACACATCAAGTGATGCTCACTTCGCGCTCTATAAACGTTTTCCTAGCTAGCATGATCGCTCAATTCAGCGGAATTTACAGTTACACTGCTAAATCATCTAGGAGCCAAATCGACCTGTCTTCTTTCCTTGTCAAAACAATGACTGATGCCTTGGTACTTCACAAAACTATGCTAATAGGTTTGCACTCTTCTCTAGCACCATTTCCAATTAAGGGGGAAAATACTATATGCCATTACCATTTCAATCAAGTAGCATATCCACAGTAGAACAAAAAGAGTTTGACAATGAAAAGACTACAGACACAGAAGATAGCGTATATCAGCACACTGTCAACCAAGAATTGCTTATTCAAGTCTTAAGATGGCAACTGTTTTAGAATTTGCAAAAGCTAAGTCTGCAAACTCAGTTTTTTGCAACTCTGAAACAAAACCCTCCTAAGTCTGTCGAGTAGCATTTGCATTGGCATGCAAAAAACACCTCCCGCTGAGCTTTAAGGAAGATGGCACTGGCTCGAGCGTTAGCATCTTCCCTGGCTATACATTCATAACCTTATCTAATAAGCTCCCTCATCCGAACCCTCACTTCTACCTTATATTGTCGGATCCTCCAAAAAGGTTGTCACACCCGCGTCAGATCCTCCAAAATGCACTAAATTTCAAGGATCGGACATGGGCATAGCAGCATCTTTTGAAGGATCTGAGCAACATAGCTTCTATGTATTTCCCCTACCCCCCCCCCCCCCCCTTTTCCTCTCCCCACACACACCACAGACCATATGTGTCTCACAAGCAAAAGAAAATAAAGAAGTATAGTTTTCCTCCAGCATATTATAGTACAATAGTTATTGTCTCCAATCCCTCCCAAGTAATGTTAACATAGATGTCCTAAATATCAGTAATAAAAAAAATCTTTGCATAGAACAGAGGACTATGATAAAGCATAGTCCAAAAGAGAAAATTTCAGCTAGACTTCAACTTTCATCATGCCCTTCCCTTCACTCAAGAAATAATCCGAAACCAATAAATGTTGATGTGAGTAACAAAATCAGAACACTAAAACAATAATCACATAGCATAAAACTGTAAATTTAACTGGATGCAGATACAATGACTCCTAGTAACTTTCCTTTACGTCACTTCCAAAGAATATTAAGTAACCTAAAAAATGGACCATGAACCTAACTCAACACAGGCTAACATGAGACAGACTAACACATTTTAATATAAGGAAATCAAACCATTAAAATGTTTATGGGCAGTCCGGTATACTAAGCGGGGTCTAGGAAGGGCCGGACCACAAGCGGTTCGAACCCGAGGCAACTTTACCAGCTCCCCTTCATCTAAATTTAATACGTTTATAAACATCTAAATTTATCTATATAAAAAGTGAACTGAATTAAGTTAAAATTGGTCGAATTGAGTCTCGAAACAGAGAAGGGATAAAAATTAAGGGACGGAGAGAGAAAAAAAAATAGTACTATACGGAAGCATACCTCTTCGAGGAATTTCTGATCGAGATTGTCAGCAATACGGGCAGAAGTGAAGATAGTGATAGCAAGCAGAGAAAGTGGGAATATCAAAGCAAATATGTAGCTGCTGCTACTTATTCCTCCTCCTGCACGTGTCACCACTCTTAAGGCTCTGCTGCTCTTCTTCAATTTCCGGCTATGAAAATGAAGAAACGGCGGCGTATTTCGAGAAGAGGAACACACAAAGAGCTGCTGCCGTTGGGGCTCATTGAATCGGAGGAAAGTAGTAGAAGAGGAGAGCGAGTTGGAGAGTATCATACTCGCCATCAAAGACTGGTTGGTTTTCAGTTCGTTATCGTTTACAGTATTTCATTCCTGACTTTTTTAATCTCCTTCACTTTTTTGCCCCTCTTACTTAGGCAATTGGTATACTTTTGTTTCTCTAAATACGCCCCTAATCTCCAAAATGCACTAAATAGGGTCAAATTTGAACATTGTACGTCAATACTGTTAAAATCAATAATATGGTCAACTAACAAATCAAAATCCAATTCCAATTCCAGACAACAACATGACTCAAATTTCCCCTCCTTTTTATTTTATTTTTTATTTTGGAACTCCTCAGAACATGTACTTAGGTTATTTGCTTACATGCTAATTATGCGAACGTTATGATACAAAAATCATCTACCGATGAATAAAATTAAAGGGATTGTTGTATGTGATTAATAATGTAGGGAGTTCCAGACTAATAATGAAGAGATTACTTACTTATTTTAACCAGATAGGAGCCTATTATTTTTGGGTACTTTAATCCTCATATTCTTAATTCTTATTCTGTCCGCACGTATAAATTTTCACACAACTTACTACCGCTGTATAAGTTATACGGGAGTTTTTTTTTTCTAATCCCTCTAACCAAAAAACTCCATCCCCTTTACAATCACCGTTCTTCAGAGAGAAATTATCTGGACACATTTTTTTATGCTCTCCAAGGACGAAATCTACCCAACACCAGTTTAATACTGTAATTGTTTTTCATTTCTCTCATCCTCTTTCTCAAGGCTTTATCATGATCTGAAACCCTGGATTCGAGTTAAGAAATGATCTCAGCGAACAGCCATTCTACACCATGTGATTCAGAAAGTACGAGCCTCAAAAATAATCAACTCATTAGAGGTCGAGTTACTATACATTAAGAATAACCCCTCATCTCCATACCATAAAGTTGATCTCTGAAAAAAAAAAAAAATATCTTCCACCCTCCTCCACCCCCCAACTCCATCTGTATGTTTCTCTGTGTATTACAACATAAATTTACACCTCCGCTTGGGTAATGATCGGGAATAACCATAAAACCGAAGCAAGAATGCACTCCCACCTGTGAATCTGCTAGCTTACATCTTTAGCTATTCTACACTCTGATACAAATGAAGACATTGCATGTTCGTCATCCACTCCGTCAAGTTGACAGAAGAAAGCAGCAGAAGCCATGAAAGGAGAACAATTACGCTTCAGTTATGACATCTTCATCAATGCCTGGGGGTGGCCGTGGTGGAACGGCTTCTTCATGAAATTCAAAGTGGGAAGCACTTTCCTCTAAAACTCTTCTGGCAGCTTGAGAATGTTGATTTCTACCAATCTTTCTCGAAGGAAGTGTCTCAGAGGCAGCAGCCTTTGATGAATTGCTACTTTCAATGGATGCTAAAAATTTGTCCTTTGATAGAGATTTCTGAGCAGATGAAACGATAGAACTGAAAACACCACTCTCCCTCAAACCTTGGACAATAACCTGCACGTGTAAAAAAGAAAAGAATGAACAAAGAAAGCTACGGCTGGAATGAGTTATAACAATGTTTCTGACACTCTAGGGAAACTGCACAAGAGATCTCGACCGTCTCAAGAGAACAAAATGCAGGCATTGTCTTGCTGGAATAAAGACAAACAGAATGTTTGAGCAGATGATGGAAGGATCTAAATTTCCCTAACACTAACTCTTACTCTACATTCAGGGACTTCAAAAGTTGTCATTTCATGGCTGCATTTGACTTGCCATTGCCATAAATCTCTTCATTTTCCAGATTTCGCACACTGATTTTCTACTTCATTCCTAATTCTTTTTATAACCGAAAAAACCATTAGTTAGTTGGTTCCCAAAAAAAAAAGAAAGTTGGTCCAATCCTAATTTTCCTCATAAGTTAAGAACTCGAGGGAGCATGGGCACGCCTCTGTACCCTACCCTCAAAGTCCCACTTAAATACCACGTTTTGTGCCAATGACAAGGTTCAAACTATGCCCAATTCACACATCCCGTGTTGCGCCTTTACCCCTAAATCAAAGCCTTGGGAGCACTTCATCCCTAATCTTTCTGGGGGACAGTCTCTCTCTCTCTAGATATATATTGGAATACAGAAAACATACTACTACTTCCTACATCATTTTTACACTTGTTTCTAAACACTCGCCCAGTTCTTGCATGCCATATAATCCAAAAAAGACACAAACACAATGCTTTCATGTCAGTCTCTGTATTATCCAATTTGTAGCCGCTTCTTCCATTGTCCGTGACAATATGCATGAAATATAATCCCTAATCTTTCTGTGCGGCAGTCTCTCTCTAGACATATAATGGAATAGAGAAAATAATTTAATACTTCCGACATCATTTTACACCGTTTCTATACACATTCTCCTATTTCTTGCATATAATCCAAAAAAGACACAACCACGATGTTTTCATGTTGCTCTTCTGTATTTTCTATTTTGTGGCTACTTCTTCCATTGTCCTGACAATATGCATGAAATATCAAACGAAGAAAACACAAGCGTCCACGTTGTCAATTGACAGAGACTATGTGATCCTCATCCTCTCCCAACTTTTTATAGTAGAAGACGATGGGCTGCTGTAGAAATTTCTTCCACATTTTTGTATTTATTTTTAATCTTTTTAGATTAAACTTTATCTTTATTAGCAATTTTCTTAGAGTTCATCTTAAAAGATTATCCCTTAGTTTGAATTTATCTTTATCATTAATTTTATTTTTGTAAAAGTTCTTTGTTTTATGAGTCTAGCATATGCAAAGGTTACCTACCAATTAGGACTTCTTTGTGAAACCTGATTAGAAATGCTTCAGTTGACGAATAACAGTTTATAAATAGATTTCTCTCTTATTCTTCCCTCTCATTTCTCCTATTTCGCTTTATTCTTCTCCTCTTTCTCCCTCCTCCCTTCTGGTACCACATGAATTTTGGTATCAGTAAACAAGTTTCAATTATCATACCATTGCACTCTTGAATGCACATCGTGTTGCTGATATCTTCGTCATCTTAATTTGGTGGTATTCTACGGGTATGCACTACCTCCCGGCTCCCACTAGCACAAGCACCGGATAACACTGTCCACGAAGGCTTGGACAAATGAGAAGAAATCACCTAGTGTTTTTGCTTCCACTGGGATTTGAACCCGACACCTCGTGAATCTCAACCCACTTCATTGACCACTAGTCCATCCTACGAGAATTAGTTTTCCAAGGATGTCCTCCCACAACCGAAATTCTTCCCGAGCAATACCGTATTTCCATTTCACACACAATAAATGATAAATATAAAACATATTTTCCTCACCTTCACATGGTTCTGATCGAATTGATGTTAGAGATACGTACTCGTTTCAAAGGCTACACTATTCTTGTGTTCTAGGACTTACAATGTGATCGAAAGATATTTTTTTAAGAGGACCTATTAAATCGTTCTTGTTCAGACTCTTTCGCTAGAGTAACCTCCTCCTTTTTTTCCTATTCAGAAAATTGCACTTTTGGACCCAAAGAAAAAGAATTCCAAAGTCAGGTTGTCCAGGCTTACCATGGGAGCATAAATACGAGTTAAAATGCCTTTCCTCAATAGTTTCAGGTTCACCGCTTTGTCAGTCCATACCACATGTTCACGATACCTGACCAAGATAAAGGCAAATAGATCTTTACTAACATTAACAACCATATACTCTTCAGCAAGAGTTCACAAAGTGGAAACATATAGCAGCTTCAGAATTTCAAAATATCTATGTTGATGAATAAATCAAGAACATAACTAATCCAAAAGGCCAACTGAGTGCTACAAAAAGAGAGCTGAGCGAGATTAAATTGGATTTAGCAGCTATTTAGAATAGTAATTACCAGTTTAACATCTCATCTTCTGTGGCAGTTGAAGCAATAATAAATGCCTGCAGAAGATACAGTTTATTATCACACCATATTAGCTGATAAACTATCAAAAGTCAAGAAAATAAAACACAACAGTTGACATTATATCAATAAACCGTCAACTGATAGTAATTTTTTCCATAGAAGCAGCAGGAAGACTACATTTTATTAGAACGATTTGCTCAAAATTCAATCATAAAAGAGGGCTGAACAAAATCATTGCACAAAACCAAACTATGGATATTGTCTAAGATTGATTCTCCAACAACCAGACTACCAAAAGTTTAAAAAGGAAACACTTTTTTTTAATAATCGTGGTGTTCGGACCAACTTGCGCACCTCCATGGGGTACTTGCTACTTCCCACTAGCACAAGTACCGGATAACTTTGTCCACCAAAGTTTGGACAGATGGGAAGATATCACCTGGTGTTTTTGTCTCTGCAGAAATTTGGACTCGAGCTCTCATGGTTCTCAACCCACTTCATTGACCACTAGGCCACGCCTTTGGGTTGCAAAAAAAACTTCTCGTCCTAAATAATTTAAACCACATGTAGAGTAAAAGAATCTAAAGTCTAAACAAAGCATGCCATTAGGAATGTTTTTCCGTCATTTATTCTACCACTATAATGCCACATGTATTCCTAATAACGAGCTGTCACAACTATATATAACTACAATCAATGTCACAGCAACAACATCGCTAAGACTTGATTATCGCATCCACATAACTTATCTCGCAAACTTGTTTAAGGCGTACATGAGGAGTGCCTAAAATTGGCATGGCAAGATTAGATAGTATAAGAAGGATCAAGTTAAGGTGAAATTAGATGGAATTATGATGCCAAAAATGTAGACTATATAAGATCTAGATTCAGTCCAACAAGAGAATGAGATAATATGTGAAGGCAGCCAATTCTACACTTTTTGCCTTTGACAAAGAGTACTCTTTTCAAAAACTATCTAATGCTATGATAGATGCAACAGGAAGAGGATGGGAGGTGAAATAGAGAGAGGTGTCATGAGTAATCTTTTATAACGGAGAATTCACCGAGGACTAGTGAGGCGTAGTTCTAAACTCAATCAATATATGCCTGCACTCTAGCCTTCTCCACTTATATACCAGATTTTTGTCTGCGACAGATTCAACTGCTTGATGTGCATAACCAGCGCTACGATCTTACCACTAGTCTAAGGCCGTGGGGCCGTGTCATGGGTTATTTCTTTGTTTGGCA